CAGTTTGTTGGTGTTTTTGTATGAACTAATATTTTAAAAATCTCTGTACAAACTAGATGTTCAATAAACACTCATGAGATTATATCTTCATGATATTTTAAATTCTCTCTCTATAATAAAACATATGGGAATTAAAAAAAAAAAAGAAAGAAAAGAAAATGCATTGTAGTCTTAGGCTTTCTGGTTAGTCAAGGGTTAAAGTCCCCATCATAAATGTAAATATCCACATACTGACTGCATAGGATTTTTTTCAACTCATTGTCCTATTTTAATGTTTTCTAAATGACCTTCCCTTAGAGTTCACTGAACAGCAGAAAGAATTTCAAGCTACTGCTCGTAAATTTGCCAGAGAGGAAATAATCCCAGTTGCTGCAGAATATGATAAAACTGGTGAAGTAGGTATATACATTTTAATGATAAAAAAGCCCTTTACATTTTTTACAAGATGATATTATCAAACTATCTAGATTGTAAATATACTATAACTGGGTTTTTTCTTTTTCTTTTTCTTTTTTAGTACCCTGTCCCCCTAATTAAAAGAGCCTGGGAACTTGGTTTAATGAATACACACATTCCAGAGAGTTGTGGTAAGCTTTCTTTACATTTATAATCCTAGAATGCATATGAATAAAAAAAAACTGTGAAAGTCTACTCAGTCATTCTTTCAAATATTTGTTGCCATTAAATGGCTTTCTACCTTTCTCTCCCTGTTCAGACTACAGTATTTGTCTGCCTTTAGAAACCTTGCACTCTGGGGGCCGGCCCGTGGCTCACTCGGGAGAGTGCGGTGCTGATAACACCAAGGCCCCGGGTTCGGATCCCATATAGGGATGGCCGGTTTGCTCACTGGGTGAGCGTGGTACTGACAACACCAAGTCAAGGGTTAAGATCCCCTTACCGGTCATCTTTAAAAAAAAAAAAAAAAAGAAAAAAAAGAAACCTTGTACTCAATTCTTTGAGGCATTTTTCCTTCTTTATAACTGGTTTCAACCTTAACTTGATCCTAGACCTTGGTAACTTCTCTGTCTAGATTAGTCAATTTGTTGTATTCTAATTCTGCCTTCTGTTTCCCGTTTTATTGAGGCTATTTTTGTGTGAGATTGTTGCTCTTTTCCTTGGATCAGTGGGTCAAAGTTTTAGCAGAGTTGAACTGAGTTTTTACAAAATCAAGTTTTTACAAAAACAAATATGGGACTAGCTTACAAATCGTAAGAGAATTTTTTGAAATTTTTACAACTTAATTTTAGAAAAGTATGATTTGTTATTGTGCCAGCCAGAACATTTACAGATAATTGTATTTGCAAATTTGCTTTTAAAACAAATTAGGTCATATTGGAAGTAATTAAAATAGTTTACCTTTATTTCTATCAAGATATGCTACATATAATAATTGGCTCTTAAAACATTTTAATACTGTAGGAGGTCTTGGCCTTGGATGTTTTGATGCTTGTTTAATTACTGAAGAATTGGCTTATGGATGTACAGGGGTTCAGACTGCTATTGAAGGAAATTCTTTGGGGGTAAGTTACTTAGAAAATTAATTGCCTAACAGCTGCTGTTAGTGAGTTAGTTATTACTAGGCTAGGTTAGTTGGTGAAGCAGTTTTCTTTAAAATAGGAACACAAGATTCAACAATGAACCCTGGAGTTCTAAATCCAAGGCTTGATTACTTTGGCTGTCATCTCCAGTACTTTGAATCCTAGCTGTCCTTGTGAGGAAACTGTACACTTTGGCTGCAGCTTCAGTGGTAGTTCTCAGGTAATGGCAATGCCTAAAGGAAGCAGGAGCAGGTTGACTTGCTGCCACTCTTGGCAGTGCTGAAATTTAGCTAGCAGTTCTTAGGAGGCCTGATCCCATGATACCTGATACCCTGATACCATGTCACATATCCTAAATTTAATTCTTTATTTGTGCATTTTACTATGGTAGATTTTTACATATTATATGACCAACAAGTCCTACATATAACTTAAATTTATGAAAATACTTAGATTAGCAGATTTATTTCTTCATGGTTTTAGCTCTCTAACTTGGAGGCAAAGTAAAGGCCACTACTTTGGACTTACCGCTTGGGCAAAATTGTTCTTTTGTTTTGAATTATAGTGTCTCTGAATTTACATATCTGATAAAAATGACTTGCTTTTTTAATGTTTGCTATTTAATATTTGCCATGCATACTATTTTCTTTGGCAGCAAACGCCTATTATTATTGCTGGGAATGATCAACAACAAAAGAAGTATTTGGGCAGAATGACTGAGGAGCCATTGATGTGTGTGAGTATGTGTAGCTGCTGCTTTATTTCACATTTAAGAAGGGAACAAAGGTGTTATTTCTCCTTTTCATTCTATATGTGTTTATATATGTGTCATTAAGACAAAAGTTAGCAACATATTTAGGTACAATGATGTTTCTGAGATGCCAAAAAAGTGTCATAATAATCCCCTTGCTTGTTTCCAGGAGAGAGATATCTATCTACTTAATGGGGCATTTTGCAGTTCAAAAACTGAGTGGTCATGTCAGGAAGTTCAGATTGAATGTAGGACAATAGGTGTTTCAACTAGTAGTCTTTTGAACTAGTAAGGAATTAATGTGAACATGTGACCAAAGAGATAGCAACTTATTTGTTGAATGACTGAGTGACTTGGGAAGAATAGTTACAGATTTTAGTTAAATCCCTAAAAGCAATTCAGCACTTTTTTTTTTTTTGGTGGCTGGCCAGTATGGGGATCTGAACCCTTGATCATGGTATTCTAACACTGCACTCTAACCAACTGAGCTAACCAGCCAGCCCCAACACATTTTTAAATTGGATTTTTAAAAAAGGTATTAATATGTGTACTAAGGTTGTATTCTGAAAATGTTCTTTACCTACAGATTTTTACTTGTTTTTTTTGTCAAACAGATTTCAATCTAAGTTGTGATTGTGATACTGAAATATAATAAATTATTATTAGGTTTTTTTTTCGTGACCGGTAAGGGGATCATAACCCTTGGCTTGGTGTCGCCTGCACTGCGCTCAGCCAGTGAGCGCACCGGCCATCCCCATATAGGATCCGAACTTGTGGCCTCGGCACTCTCAGCGCCACTGTGCTCCCAGCGCCGCACTCTCCCAAGTGAGCCACGGAGTCAGCCCAATTATTAGTTTTGACCAAATTGTGAATATTCGTCTGAAAGAGTAGAAATTAATATTTGAAAATAAATGTTTTTTATTCACATACCTAAATGTCAGGCAAACTGCTTATAAAGACATTTGTACATATTTCCTTGGTAATTATTTTTTTCAACAACTGAGAGTTTAGGCTAAACATTCTCAATATTGTCTAAGAAATGTGTGAAATAACTAGAGTCGTCTCCTGTACTGTATATAATAATAGAAATAGGCTAGTAAATTAAAACATAGAATTGCTTAGGAGAATCTACCTTAATGCATTGATAAGAATATTTGTAATTAGTTATAAATAGGTGTTTCTAAAATATTTGTGAGTCTTTAAAAGCAATTTAAGTATATTAAGCATTTCTTTGGCAGTTTTGTTTTTAATACTTTCAGTAGATGTAAAAGTACATTTACTATAGTACTGAAGTTATCATAACTTCTGAATTAATACACTGTACAGTTATTGTACATTTTTTCCCCTTCTAGTGCATAATAGCAATAGATGTAATCAAAATGTGAAGCCAAGGGTGAAAATGAAAATTGTCAGTAGGTATATTGATTATAAGTTTTGATTAATTTACACTGAGATTCAGTTAATTATTAAAACCTCAATAAATATTGGTTATTTTTAATTTTATTTTTATTAAAACATAATTGATTGTATGTATATGTAGGGTACAGCATGGAATATCAATACCAATAAATATTTTTAAAATTGTACTGCATAAAATATTGTGTTTTATTCAGATTTTTTTTTTTTCAAATTTTATTTTATTTTGTCAATATACAATGTGGTTGATTATTGTGGCCCATTACCGAAACCACCCTCCCTCCTCCCTCTCCCCCCTCCCTCCGAACAACGTCCTTTCTGTTCTCTTGTCATATCAACTTTGAGGAATTGTAATTGTTATGTCTTCTTCCCTCTCCCCAACCCCCTGGGTTTTTTGTGTATTTATTTATTTATTTTTAGCTCCCACAAATAACTGAGAACATGTGATATTTCTCTTTCTGTGCCTGACTTGTTTCACTTAATATAATATTCGCTAGGTCCATCCATGTCATTGCAAATAGCAGTATTTCATTCTTTTTTATAGCTGAGTAATATTCCATTGTGTAGATTTACCACATTTTCCATATCCACTCATCTAATGATGGACATTTGGGCTGTTTCCAACTCTTAGCTATTGTAAAGAGTGCTGCGGTGAACATTGGGGAACAGGTATACCTTCAACGTAACGATTTCCATTCCCCTGGGTATATTCTCACCAGTGGGATAGCTGGGTCATATGGTAGATCTATCTGCAATTGTTTGAGGAACCTCCATACCATTTTCCATAGAGGCTGCACCATTTTACAGTACCACCAACAATAATGAGAGTTCCTTTTTCTCCGCAACCTCGCCAGCATTTATCGTTCACAGTCTTTTAGATATTAGCCATCCGAACTGGGGTGAGATGGTATCTCAGTGTGGTTTTGATTTGCATTTCCCGAATGCTGAGTGATGTTGAGCATTTTTTCATATGTCTGTTGGCCATTCGTATATCATTGCTCATTTATGTCTGTTGGCCATTCGTATATCATCCTTTGAGAAATGCCCATTTAGCTCCTTTGCCCATTTTTTAATTGGGTTGCTTGTTTTTTTCTTGTAAAGTTGTTTGAGTTCCTTGTATGTTCTAAGTATTAATCCTTTGTCAGATGTATATTT